TTTTTTTTTTTTTTTTTTTTTTGTAACAGCAATTTTTGCAAATTGATTGGTAAAAATTAAAAATGACTCCTTATAAATAAATTTTGGAATTGCATAAAAATTGATAATTTCATTACAAATTTTTGAATCCATACATTTGAACATTAAAATGTGATACAACACTACCTACATAAGTTATTAGTTACAAACTACCCATAAATATGAACCACCCTAACTGCTCTCTAAATGTCTGATTCTAGTTCTCCTACTACTTTCTATTATTCTGTCTTCACTTTTCCATTCGGTACAACCGGAGCAAGAGCTACCTATAAAATGCAGAAAATCCATGAGCAAAAAGGATAAGGAAAAGAATGGTTGAGTCACATCCAATATTGACATTTCAATTAATAAATAAGCGACTGTTGATTACTTTTTAAGTTAAGCATTTGAATTTCAAATGGCATAAAAATCACCAAAAGCACAACGTGGAAAGGGGGTGGAGCAAAATGGGCTGAGGACCTGGTTTGCTAGCAAAGTAGGTAGAATTGTACACAGAAGGGGCCAAGATGCCCTCTTTGTTCCTGAATAAGCCAAATCATATGACACATTCTTAGACATCAAATTGCAGTTGGTTCAGTCACCAAATAGAAGGATTCTGTTTCATCTATCATATCGAATAATTGACTTCCTAGCCATTTCTTCATCAGAGTGTTTCATCCTCTCTCAACCCATGCAAAGGTTCTCACACATTCACAACAAAGTCCTGCACCATGTTGGATCCAGAGGAACTAATGCCTCGCTTACTTAATTGAATATAAAGAGGGAAAAATCCTCCACAAGGTCCTAAATAATTAGAATCGCAGAAATTTCAAACTCTAAAAAAAATTCATAAAGCAAAGCCACATTATATTTCTCATTTGTGTCAACACACTTGATAATGACCCCTGTTTTGACACAAGTCAATCTTTTGCTTTGCTTAATAAATTATACATTCATTCAAGAAGCGGGAATAGATTCTAATGGAAAGGGTTGAAGCAGAGGTACTATTGTCAATCAACAACAAGCAAAATGAAGTTCAAATTCGACAGTGAGTCTAGGTGAATATATGTAGTAGTATCCCACACTTTAGAACTGGCATAGCTTAAACAGAATGACAGACTAGAAAATATATCCTCCAATCATGGTCTACATTTACTGGGGCAGGTATACAAATCATTTCAAAATGAAGTTCAAATTTTCTCCTTTTCCTTCAAAATAAAAATCAAAATTGAGACTAAAACCATCCCCAAAACCTATATCTTTTATTTGACTCTTGTGCTGATCATGTGGTATGCACACGACAAAACAAATAAATTTGGTTAGATAAAATTTTAGTTCACTCTAAGAAATACCATATCAGAGAAAAATTCAAAAAGTATTTTCCTTTACCCAGCAACACTGAAACTGAATCCACAGCTTGCCAGGTCCTCTTCCCGTTTAGAGCCCATTTGCACGTTAGAAGCCTCAGTCATTTCGGCAGAAGAACCAACAAGAATTTTTCTGGCAGCTTCAATTTCTTGAGAAGTTGCCATTTCTATTGGAAACAGTTACGAAACACCAAGAAAAACTCTTCTATAATATTTCTTCCAATCACCCCTGTAATAATAATAACCAAAACGGAAAATAAATAAATAACAGAACCAGTAAACTAAAAATCCACAACAATTTTTTTTTTTTAGGGTTTTCAATCCGATAAAAATTAATCCTGATAAATTACTTAAGCACGAGAACCCCCACAGAGCAAAAGGGCAAATAATAACAGGAAAAAAGCAACAAAATATTCAAGTTCAAGATATGAATAACAGTAAAAACGACAGAGCGGAGAAGAGGAATAATAGCTCATCATTGAACGAGATTTTTGGAAGCCATTTTTTCTTCAAGAAGATTCTAAAACCCATTTGGACTCTTGGATAACGGTTTTATTTGACTCTTGGAATTTGGAACAGCGGAGGCGTGGAGCTTGGAGCCGCAGAGAGTGGTGCCGTCACTGTCGTGAGTCCGTGGGAGGACTAGAGAGAATGGGCAAAGACAACACGGGAGTCGGGAGAGAGCTTAGAGACGGAGGAGTGGACAAATGAATGAGGGTTTCTTTTTCGTTTCATATTATTAAAAAAAAACTTTTCGTAGCACTTATAAACGTTGCTAGAGGTCTTACCTTCCGCAACACTCAATAAACGTTGCGAAAGGTAAGACCTTCCGCAACGTTTGATAAACGTTGCTAAATGTCTTACCTTCCGCAACACTCAATAAACGTTGCTAAAGGTAAAACCTTCCGGAACACTCAATAAACGTTGCGAAAAGTGGTCTACCGCAACATTGTTCTAAAAAACTTTGCCAAAACTCATTTATATTAACCTATGGCAACATTCACTTACTAAAATGTTACCAAAAGACCATTTTGACAACATTTATCAACAAATGTTGCCTTTTAAATGTTACTAATGACTATTTTTGTTGTATTGTTAGCTTTGGAAGAGAAATCATACTAATAACGTGTTATAAATTAGAGAGAACTGATAAGAGAATAAAGAAAAGACAATAGAATATGTGTTTTATTAAACTAGAGCCACGAGACATATCCGATTACGGAATACTCACACTCGAGGAACATGCCAATGTAGCTTACGAGCAAGTCGATTGCTTAGGTTCTAAAGGCAGTGGATAGGTAGGCACCCTCGTATTTAATGCACTTTACTTGTCAAAGATAACCCGAGGATGGACAACAAGTCTTTGCATGTATATATATTAAAGTATCTTATCATATTTTAATTAATGTCTAAATTTTTAATCATGTTCTGTTACTTTATGTCATTATTCATATACGAACATGAGAAATTTTTACTTAGTCACATGAGAGTGACAGATTTCGCTTATTAAAGTAACATTAAGATGCCTTTTTTCTTTTTCTTTATTTTTCTTTTTTCCTCAAAAGTGGGTGGTCTTAAGTTGGTTTTATCCAAAGTTCTCTTCTTGTCCTTAAAACATTAAAACACTTTTCATTTTGTAACTTTTATGGATGGGAAAACTAAAACTGAAGAGCACCTTGACTAACACTTTTCATTTTGTAACTTTTATTGATGGGAAGACTAAAACTGAAGAGCACCTTGACTTTCCTTCTAAACTTCATTTTGTATTGGGATAGAAAGGCTTAAAATGAAAAGCACCTTCACTTTCCTGCAAAACTTCAACTTGTTTATTCAAGAATAGGGAGGTCAATAGGTTTTTCGGTAGGCTTTTTGTTACGGGATATGCTCGTGGTTAAAGTGTGATTTTAATCGATCGTAGCTTGAGTTTGACTTACTCAAAATAACTTTTTTCTAAAGTTCATAATACTCCATTACACACGAGCTTCAAAACTAGTCCAATATTGATATTGTAATTTGGTCTTAATTTGAAAACTAAATTACCCATCAAGTAGTTTACTTTAATGAGCTATAACTCGATTTGGCTTATCTAAATTAACTTTTTCTTGCGTTCATAATTCGCCATTTAATACGAGTTTTGAAATAAGCCTAATATTGATAGGGTAATTCTCGCTTCTTCAATAATTAGCTCTTTGGCTCAAATAAATAAAAATAGAATTTCATATTTATTTTAATTTTGGTCCCTTAACATCTCAAAAGTATCAAAAGGAGCAAAAATCAAAACTGCTAGCATCCTACGATGCTTCTCATCACTAATCAATCTTAACTCACCATTTTTTGAAAAATGCTACAGGAACAGTCTCAAATCCAGAATTAAATCTAGGGATGACACGTGTTGGCGTCGGATTGGACAGTTAAAAAAAACAGCACCCAATCATTTTCCTACATATCACCCTATCTTCTTGTTTCCTGTTTTTGGGCCTGGATGAGAAGCATTATTGTAATTACTTTACTACACTTTTGAGTTTGTGTTTTTTCAAATTTTCTTTTTTGCTAAATTTGACTTTAGCTACCAACCAATTGGACTAGTTAACTTTCTATTCAATGCCTGCTTTGGGCTTAGGCAAGCAAAGGCTACAACCTAGTGCCCCAAATATATTGTATGAGGACCCTCAAAAAACTAAGGGTTAAATGTGTTGGAAATTTGTGAAACTGTAAATTATGATTAAGCACTTGTTTTTTGTTCAAAATCACATTGTCTAGCAAAAGTAGCTCATTTTGAATCTTATGACATGAATATAGAAACTAACAGTGCCGAAAACCCCCATTAATGGGATGAACCTTGGTTTCTCATTGTAAAAAATAGAGCAAGATACAACTACGAAATTGTCATGCAATCGTAAAGCTAGTATTGGTTTTCAAAGCATGATGATGTATTGTCACTTTGAAGTATTAGAATGTAGGGAAGGTTATTGACACCGGGGAAATGAAGATAACAGATGACACCTTCTTAACATGCATGAGCAGTTTTTCTGAGTTGAACTTAGAAATTCGGATAATGACACTTGCAGAATCTTTTGGAAGTTGGTGTTTCTGTGTTTTCATGGACAAATATACTGGATTTCTGATTAACTAATACAAATTTCATAACTTTGGAATGAAAAGTTTGATACGACCCAGATATCCGCAAATATCACATTTGGCATGTTTCAACAAACCTTGCACAGCCACCACCATATATTCTAGTATAATAGACGTTGATGCTCCAAGAAAGAAAACAATCGAAATTATATTTATTTGCGATTTAAACAGAACTGGTAGAGGTTCAATGATACAACAACAATCTTGTCCCTAAATTTAGAGTTGGCCACATGAATATTTTTTCATCATCAACCTAAATTTTCATTACCGGTCCCAAGCTCAGGTAAATGATGAGGGTCGCAGTAGGTTGACAATCAGTACGGCATTAATCCTCGATAGTATTCTTGAATTTTTTTTACCATATAAACTATTAACTTTAGGTTCAATATTGGAAAATGAACATTATAAACTCCAGGAATTGAATTACCATATACTTATGTTCTAAATATTATGAAGTGGCTTCAATTGGCAATTTTTAATTGTACACAAGCAATCAACCTACAAAATACACAAATGTTGTCAATTAACTATCAAAATCAAATAAACTCTGAAATTCAAATGTAAGCTTCAATTTGCTAGTAAATCAATTATGCAAGAGAAATGCGTGTGTCCTGTGTTACTGTTTATATAATATCTGAACTAACTACATAATGAAAGGAAGCATCCCAAATTTCTTATAGGGTGAAAGTTTCGGATGAACAGGTTAGCTCCCATATCAACACTTTCATTATCTTTAGATGCTTGAAAAACAATACAAGTTGATTAAAAAAATTAATCATATTTTAGTTACAATGTTGCAGTGATTCTTACAATAACAATAAAGATATTACACTACAACAAAAAGAGTCATTCGCAACATTAAAAAGGCAACATTTGTTAAAAGGGAAATGAGATGTAGCTTCAAGCAAGTTAGCTTTTGTTACTTGTTTTCACTGTGTAAATTTATTTTCAGGAGCTTGCATTTCTTTCATATTTAGATTAAAAGGGTAAATGAAAGATCAAATAATACTTTTATAGCACTTATAAAACATTTCAAAATAACGTACAACGCACGTTCAACTTTGACTAGTTTGATAAAATATTTTATAAGAACTAACATTAAGTGCTCTCTTCCTTTTGTTATTTGTCTTGTATTGCAGCCTGACACAGAGACTCAGCTGCTTACGATTCAGTTTGAATGGAATGGTGTTCTGAAGTCAATCTCAAGCACTTTGATTGGAGTGAGCCCTGAGTTTGAAGTTGCAATATATACCCTAAGTTTCTATTTGGGAAGGGAAGAAAACTATGTTGAGAGTAGTTTGTGTGTTCCGTTTATGATCGAGTTTTTTCCTTACCATTTTATTTCATTTTGAAGATTCTTTTTATTTAAGTGGTGTTGTATCTCATTCTAATGTTCAAGTGTATGGATTAAAAAGTTTGTAATGAAATTATCAATTTTTATGCAATTCCAAAATTTATTCATAAGTTGCATTTTTCAATTTTGACAATCTATTTGCATAAATTGTTGTTAAAAAAAAACACTCTACGACAATGTTTGGCAAATGTTGTCATAGATTTTCAGCAACGTTCAAAAAACGTTGCCGTATCTCTCTACTCTACGACAATACCTCGATTTGCAACGCACATCCTAACGTTGCCGTAGGCCTACGGCAACGGTTTTTGAACATTGTCGTAGACTATTTTTTGTTGTAGTGTTAGGATCTGGAAAAACATACAAAATGGTGACAAACTAAAGTACAAAATGCCATGTAATTACATACCATATTCATTGTATAACCTTCCCATGCAATCTAATCATATTTAGAACCTTAAATGTGGCAAAAGTAGGTGCCGATAATCAAAATCATGGATCTCATAAGAAAATAACTTAGACAAATAAATCTTGTATTCCGAATGAACAGCTTTGCTCGCACAAGTAAAACATACATAATCATTCTTCTTCACTTCTCAACTCCACAAAGCCATAGCCTTGGTAAGCATTTGACTGTGTCCTTGGGCACATACACATAAGTTAAAGATAGAAATAT